TCCCCTCCGTGAGCCCTGGGAAGGTCTGGCAGGTTTTTGGCCTTTGTAAGGTCACCCTCCTGTTTGTTTGGGTCTGTCACGTAGCAACAAGGCAGGGGGGGAAAACTTTTTTCTTTTTCTTTTTAAACAAATGTGACTGTCAAGTCATGAGGGTCAGCAGCAGAACTGGCCCCTGAGTTTGCTGCAGGCTCATCTTTTGCAGAAGCTGATTTGCTTTCAAAGTTGACCCTCCCGAAATTTTCTACTAAAAAGCTTCAGTAAAACCAAAACAAAGCATAAGCACCCAGAGAATAGTTTACTGTAAGATGTTCAAGCTTGAAGTGCATGTAGGACCTGGGCTGTTCCTCACCTCTCCAAGTTAAAACTCAGGAGGCTGGAGCGCACAGGAGCCACCGTGTTTACAACCTGCAAGAACCAAGTAATGCCAGGAAAATAAACCAAACACAACAAACCCAAATGCTAGGTGCTTCTGCCTTGTTTTGGTCAGAGCATCCCTCTGAGCTGCCAGGTTTTATGCTGCACCACGCAGGGGATGCCGTGGACCTGCAGCTGCTCACCAGCACCGTGGATCCCACCACGGCACAGACACCAGCGCCGTGGTCCAGGACTCCACCAGCCACATCCTCATCCCTCCCCAGGGACCCTGCAGAGCGTGGCCGGGCTGAAGGACCTGGCACAGAGCAGGAGGTGGTGTGGAAGGGAGATGGCAGCGGAGCTAACAAGTGCCTGCAAGTTTGCAAGTGCGTGTGTATGAAGGACTCTCTCCTCCTAAGAATTTCCGGCACGCTACGTTAACACAGCAGCAGGGCTCTCGCAGGCAGCAGCATCCATTTTACAAATTCCTTCAGGCTCATGAGTTCAGAGAGGCTGCAGCAGCGTACTCACAATTAGCAAGGACATTTGGTCATCATTTTCCATTAAAAAAAATTCGTCTAATAATTATTTGCATATGCAAAAAGCCCCGAAGAGCCCCCATTTTCCTTGCAAAGTAGATCATAAAAGATCAGGGAGCACGCTGGCAATTTTTTTCTTGGAAATGAACTTTGTAAAAGCAATGTGCTGAATTTGGAAAAGGCTGGTTTATAGTTCCACGGTGTTTCAATGCCAGAAGGGACCATTCAAACAGAATGGGAGCTGATGTCTTCCTCTGGGAGTCACTGAAGTACACCTGAGCCATGGATGCTGGCAGCAGAAGTGCCCTGCTACAGACAAGGCCAGGCATTAAGTTTTGGGTCAGCATTTTTGAGGGGTAAAGGGAGAATCGTGTGGTCACCCCACAGAAAAAAAACCAACCACCACAGAGCTCCTACACAATACAGTGTCTAACAGAGATGGGTAGGTGAGAGGCAAAACACTCTGACTCCTCTCCAACTGCATCAGTTAAATCCAGCCTAATTCCACTGTCTGCAAGAGGGTTACAGCTCATTTACATCTGGGTAGATCAGGTGGCCACCAGGTCTCATTTATGACTCTGTCTAAACCACAGCCCAACAAAACTCCTTCTGAAAAATCCTTGGAAAAGCACAAGCCCTATCTCCATGTTTCTCAACGCATGGTCCAAGCACTGGGTCCCTGCAGCCCCGGGAGCCCAAACCACATGATATGGATCTACAGCAAAACAGTCAGCAAAAGGAAGGGATGAGTCACGTCTCCAGCAAGGACCGTGCAAAGGGAACTCCTGTGGCCCCTCTGGGAGAGGGAGAACCTGTGAGCCTGTGGCACTGTCCCCCTCCCGCCTCGTCCCTGGAGGGACTAGCTAATCAGGGGAGTCACAGGGACCTGACAGGTGACAAATAGGATTGTTTACCTGGCGGGAGAAGGGACAGAGTGAAGCCAAGGGCAGCGAGCATCAAAGGGAAGGAGAGGGAGGAGAGGGATGCACAGGGAGGATATGCAGCGAAGCACCAGGCCAGCCTTTGGGGGTCACAAAAGGGATGGGTTAGGAAGAAAAAAATGGATGCACAGGGAAGAAGAAAAAGAAATTGGAGGGTGCAGCTGTGTTTGGACAGTGCGTGGGAGCTGTGGTGAAGGAAGACAGAAGAGCAAGGCTGGGCAAAAGCAGGAGATGGGGTTTCTGAGGTACAAGAGTGAAGAAGGGGCTGTGCAGCAGAGCTTGGACACACGGGGTGCCTGTCCTGGCAGGGCAGGGATGCATGGAATGAAGCATTAAGCGACATGTCCATGACCCTGGAGCAGCACAGCTGGGAGGGAAGGAGAGGGCAGCAGCATGGTGCAGGCTGCGCTGCGGCGAGGAGTGGCAGCGGAGGACAGCACGGGGACATCACAGGTAGGGAGTGGGATAGGAGCTGCTCCGGCAGCTGGGAACTGACCACAGTGCCTCAGGGAAGGGCTGGCATGAGCTCCCCGTGGGGCAGAAGCTGCAGCAGGCACAGCAGGCACGGGGAAAGGCAGCACAGGCTGCAGAAGGACAGAGAGGCAACGCAGGGGGCAAAGCAGAGCATCCCTGGGGCAGGAGGTGGTGGCAGCTGTGGGGTGACAGGGAGGGAGCAGCGATGGGCCAGCAAGCACAGCAGCTCCATGGAGACAGGGCCAGCATGCTGCCCAGGGACGTACCTGGCAGAGAAGAGTGAAGCGGGCTGCTCCGGGGTTTACTAGCCCCAAGGGTTAGTAAAGTGGGGGACAGCCATGGGGGAAACAGGGCTGCATGGGGGTGAGGAGGGGAGGGCCAGCAGGGAAATGGCTGGATGGTGCCCATGTCTAAAGTACATCAGCGGGCCTGACTCAGCCTGGCAGCACCGTGGTGCTGGGGGCTGGCAGGGCTGGGCAGCACCAGGGGGGCTGCAAGGGGAAGGGGCTGGGGGGCTGTGAGGGGCCAGGACCATGGCCGC